AACTCGGAGGAGTGAGGGGCAGTGCGCTGCCGCCCCTCGACGCAGGGAACGCAGGTGGGGGCAGGCCCCGGAGGAAGGGGAGGGAGGGACCGGGGGAGGCCAGAGACAAGAAGACGGGACGCCATGCCTCGAAGACGAGGCAGGGAGGGGTGACCAAGGCGGTGGTGCCAGAGGAGAGTCCGGTGGGACAGGAGACGACACGAGCAGGGGGCAGACTCAGGGCCAGACCTGGACGCCGCAGCAAACACCTGACCCGACGCTGCTACCTGAGCAGACTCAGTGACTGGAGGAGACTCAGTGGTCAGTGTGTACAGGCTCGACCCCGGCCGACGGGTAAACGTGGCCAAGTGTCGGCCCGTGTCCGCACACGTGCAGTGGGTCACCCGCTGACGCGCAGGGGTGAACTGGTCAACTCCTGCATCCTGGAGGTCAGCACCCGCCACCAAGTTCGTAGAGGATGAGGGGAGGTAGAGACCCGACAGGGAGCCAGACGGGACCGCCGGACACGGTAGGACAGTGGAGTAGTGAGCAAGGACAGGACCCCCAGAGGGGTCCGCCAGGGAGACCGCAACAGGCCGACTGAGCGGTGTGAGAGTGGTGGAGTCCCGAAAGAAGGAGCGGGAAGCACCCGAGTCAAGGGTGAAGGTGTGGGTGTCCGGGGGCGACGCAGCACCTGAGAGCGCAAACTCACCGGCACCTGGGGCAGCAGACGCACTGGCACCTAGAGCAGCAGCCTCACAAGTACCTAGCGCAGCAGCCTCTATGCCTGGGTCAGGCGGGAAACACCGGTAACAGTCACCCTCATCACTAATAGTCACAGCATACATGGCAGCAAGAATAGCATCAAAGTCAAGATCATAGATTGCAACACCCGCCCTAGACAGCTCGCCCCAGCGAGGGATCTCAGTAGCGTCGGGGAACTGGTGGCATTTCGCGTGCACTTTCACTTCGAATCTACCGAGATTCCCTCCCTTCCACAATCTCGCTGTCGCCACGCTGGCGAATCTTCCGCTGCACGTGGCCCGAGAGGTGAAACTCACATTCTCGCCAAAACTCGAATTCTCGCCTCAACCTGTGATGTTATAACGACTACTGAAACACCCAAATTGTCTAATAATTTTTTTTTCTTACACTAAAAAGTGCCATATATAACCACCCGGGTATTATATAGGATTTTCCGTTGAGAGGACCCCCCCACCTTTTTTCCCTGTGGTTATCATAATACCCCCGGGTGTTATGTCCGGGTGATTACGGTACTTGGTAGCGAAGAGGTGAATGGCGTCATCAGCGTAGGAGATGTGAAGTCCGAAAAAACAAACTTACTTGGTCGATGCTGGTGACTTGGACGCGATTGTTGAGGTTTTTCTCGAACTGGGTGAAGAGCTCATTGCTAGTGCCAGTGTAGAGAAGATCATCCACATACGCTGTGAGTAGGATGTTTTCGCCTCGGTAGTGAAGGCGGTATATGCCAGGATGGTGGGGCGTCTGAATGAAGACGATGTCACGAAGAATATGGAGGTGTTGCTGCCAAAGTCGGGGCGCCTACTTGATACCGTAAAGGGATTTTCGCAACTAACACATGCGGTCGTCGCCGTTGCTGTAGGCATGAGGTTGCTCGACGAATATGAGCGCATCCACTGGCGAGTGGAGAAATGCATTTTTTACGTCCATCTGATGGAGTGGGAGATGCTTCGCGGCGGCGATGGCGAGGAGAATGCTGGTGAAGGTGTGGCGGCTGACTGTGCGAAGGTTTGATCAAAATCGACGTCGTGACGTTGATCGAAGCCACGCACGACCCAGTACAGCGTTCCATGGTGCCGTCAGCTGCGATTTTGACGCGGAACACCCATTTGCCGGAGAGGACGCGACTCCCCTTCAGTGCGGCACGGTCAGCGAGGACCCATGTGTCGCGGGCGTTGAGAGCAGCGACTTCGCATCCATAGCAGCGCACCTATTTTTGGCGTTGGGACCTGTGAGAGCTTGGCATGGGGTTTTGGGCTCCCACCGCCTTTGGGGGCCGGGAGACAGCAGTGTGAAGGCCGAGGGTGTGAAGTCCGGGGCTGTGCTGCTGGTGACTTCCACCACGTCGTCGTCAAAGTTGTGGCCGCTGGAGGGGGTGGGACTGAGGAGGGAGTCGCGCGAGGAATCGAGTGGAGCGCTATCCTCATCGTCGGCATCGTCGCTCCATGGGCGAGGGCTAACGTGGGGATACGTTGGATCCTGATCCGCGAGCGCTGCCTCCGCTTCGTCTTCAGGGATAGCGAAGCTGCGCGGTGGGCGCTCGTAATCCGCGAGGTTGGGTACTCCCTCGGTGCGGTTATTGCGGCGGTCGCATTGGAACTTGCGGATGGTGAGGTCTTCATAGAAGATGATGCCGCGGGCCGCGACCACTCGCGGGGTATCATGGTCGAGGATGTTCCAGGTATGGTGTTCGAAACTGATGCCAAGATGCACGCCCCAGCGGGCGCGGCGTTTGAACTTCCCTGTGGCTGCCTATGCTGGTCGATACTACACCATGCATCCCCAGACGCGAAGCATGGATATATCATCCTTGTCGCAGTGAACTTGAGGTGAGGGGAGAGATTGTCGGTGTTGGCGGTGGTGCTGAGCAGGTTGGTGGTGATGCATGGCGTAAGGTCAGTACTTCGCGTCAACGTCGCCCTGCTGCAGGAGTGCGCAAACTTTGGTCTTGAGAGTGCGGTTGGTGCGTTCCGCGACACCTTGCTGGGGATGCGCGTAAGGGAGGGGAAGGTTGTGGATTATTCCCTTCTCCTATAGAAGTTGCCGCCAGTTTGTCGCTCTTGAACTCGGATGCGCAGTCGGTTTGGCAGAGCTTGAGGGTGCGGCCTGACTGGGTCTCGACGTTGGCGTGCCGGACTTTGAAGATGTTATACGCCTTGCTCCAGTGAGAAACATGGGCCAGTTAGACGAAGCGGGAGTGGGCGTCGACGAAGATGAGGGTGTATTTCTCGCCGTTAATGCCAGTCTGGTTGAGGACGATAAAGTTGCTGTTTACTTTCTGATTTTTTTCGTCAGGGTGAAGCAGCGTTCTGGGAAGGAATACCTGAGCGCGGGATGCAGTTGTTGTGAACTTCCTGGGAGGGGTGGCCGAGGCGTTTGTTCCAAAGGTCAAGGGGAGTGCAAATGGCATATGAGCGTGCATAAAAGGCAAGCAATTTAGCGGTGTTGGTGGGAAGAGGATGTGGGATTGGCTGTGGCGAGATGGAGAGGCCGAGTGCGAGAATGAGATCACGAGCAGTGAGCGGTGGGGCTGGTTCAACTGTGGTACTTGCAGCAAGTGGTGTTGGGAGATCATGTATGTCTGCTGTTCATTCTGGGAGGGCAGGGCAAGGAACAAGAGGTGGAGGTGGGGCGTGAATCATTGATGGGCCAGCGGTGGATGGATCATATGGGCCGATGGGCGTGGACTTAATAGGTAAGGGGCTGTGAGGGTAGCGGCTGTAAGGCAGGATGGTGCCGTGGTCAGCAGGGGGTGTAGAGGAGGAAGCCCAGGAGTCACTGGATGAGAGTCAAGTGGGGAGGATGCCGATGGGTCGAAGGGACCCATGGGGTCTAGCGGCTTCTACGGCTGCCTCTGCTTCTCTGCGCGCTATTGTTTCTTCAATTGGCTCTTCTTTCTCTACAGATAGCGTAGTCCCCCACACTTATGCTCTTGCGCAGCTTCCTGCTCTCGCTTCCTACTCTGGTGCCTCCCCATCCTGTGGTGCCAGTGCAGCTACCCTAGCCGCCTTTGGCGGCGGCTGCTGCTGCTTCTGCCTCAGCGTCTGCTCAGCGACGACGCTCTTCTTCCTCCTGGCGTTGGAACTATTCAGAAGATATGTCGCGGCGAGACCAGGGATGAGCGACGTGGTAAGTCTCCTAATCTAGCGGCTGAGGCTTGTTGTTTGCGTCATGCGTGCCAAGTCCCGTGTAACGTGTGAGGAGGTGGAGGCGATCATGGGCAGTGGGGTCAGTCCGAGTCTTGCATGGTTGGAAGATGGTGAGCGCTGTAGCAAGTTCTGCGTCTCTCATGCCAGTTGGGAAAGGGGTCTGCCATTCTGCTTCTTCGACGATGTCCATGCCAGCAGGCTGTATGTCTAGTGCTGCTTCCTCAAAAGGGTCTAAACCGGTAGAGGGGTTATCTGCTTCATCGTCGCTAGCCTTGCCCTTCTCATTTTTTGCTGTTTTAGCCAGGCGCCTTTCTGCTGCAGCTGAAGATTCGCCTCTGTCAACTAGTGCTTTCCCCTTGCTGTTTTTTGGGGCTGAATGGTCGCTGTAAGTCAGTGTCTGTGACTTTTCTAGTTTGTCTTTGGTTGTGAAGGCTGTTGGCGTGCGACAGTTGCCGAAGAGACCTTCTGGACCAGGTGCGTGGAGATCAATCTCTCTTGTATGAGCGTGATGCTTGATCCAGGGGCGTGATAGTTGTCGCCTACATGTACAACCTCTTGCACTCTAGGTATGACATTGAGCTGCTCAATCGCTTCGAGCACAATATCAAGGAGAAGTTGGAGGTGTCTTTCTCACACGATGTCCCTTAAGAGTTTGCCGTAAGCACGGGTTTGCAACAGAGTTTTCCTAACAGAGCTCTTGCATTAAGAGAAAGTCATGGTGAATGGATAATTCAAGCAACTGTACAACAACCAGAGCGCGATTAAAAGCGTGAACAAGCCCGGCTTCATCAACTGCTCGAAACACACCGCTCTCTGTTGCTTCTCTGTGAAGGACGAAGTTGACAAGTGCAAGGCCAAGCCCACTTACTGCTCAACTAACAAAATGGCAGCATAATTTTTGTTGAAGGAGCTGTCACGTCATAAGTTCCAATACTGCGTGGATCTGCGCGGAGCTGTCAAGAAGTCCCAGGAATGAAAGGGAATGTTGGAGTAACCAGATAGTATTTGAAGCATTTCAAAAGGTGTAACCTTACTGCACCTGCCAGTAGCGAAGCACATTTACCATTACCATGTTATCCTATATAGGGTACACAGATTAATAGTCGCGGGTCAACTGTCGCGACTGTTGATAGATCTGGACCAAGAGGTTGCGAACTCATTCGTCTGGGTGGGGTGCGCGCCCCCACACTGCTCACCCGCCCGGTCGCCGGTACGGAGAACGTAGGTGCAGGGGCCAGCACCCCCGCCCCGCTGACGAGCAGCGTACCACTCACGAAGCTGCTGGGGGGAAGGGGTCTCACGGGTACGCTGCTGCTGCTGCTGCTGGCGCGCACCACCACCGGAGCCACCCCTCTGCGCAGCGCCACCCCGACCAGCTCCGCCGCCTCCGCCGCTACCTCCTCCACTACCGCCACCTCCGCCACCTCCGCTCCCACCGCCACCGCCGCCTCCACCTCCACCTCCAGTCCCGCCACCGACGCCCCCACCCCCGCCACCACCCCCACCGCCACCCCCACCCCCTCCACCACCTCCACCTCCGCCTCCACCGCCCCCTCCAGCCCCTCCAGCACCCTTGCCCCCCTTGCCCTTGCCAGAGCGGCGTCTCCCGCTAGGGGCAGACGCCGCAGCGACCGACTCAAGACCAACGAGGTCGGCCGCAGCAGCAGAGGCAACAGAGGGCAAGAGGGGAGAGGGGGAGCACCCCTCAAAGACAGGGGTACGAGGGTCACCACGAGAGGCACCTACTGCGACTATGCTCTTCTCTGCCGCGAGCAGGCGCTCCTCGAGGAGGTCAACGGTGAGGGTGGTGGGGCAAACAGAGAGGAAGTGGTCCCTAACCGGGCGAAGGGTGTCAGGGAGCCGGGTGACTATGTAGTAGAGGGTGATGTACATGGGGGGGGGGTTCTTGGCGCAGAACTCAGCAGGAAGCGCAGCGCGGTAGCGAGTGTCACTAGTGCGAAGGTGCGTAATGAGGTCAGCGACAGTGGGAAAAGCGGCGAGGTCAGGGAAGAGGTACGGTAGGATGAGGCGGCTAAGCGCAGCAGTGGCAGGGGAAGAGTAGCGTGCAACAACATCGTCGTACAAGGTCTTAGCACTCTTGTACTGGCTAAAGTGCGCACGCTCAGCGGTCGGCAAGTGGCGGCGCACAGCAAGGCGGGCAGCAGCATCGCGTGTGGCCCACTGGGAGCGAACAGTGGGGTCAGCATCAGCAGCAGGGGCAGGAGAGGCACCAGAGGTGAGGTCAAAAAGGGAGAGGCCGTCTGCTCTGTCGCTCAGTAGGAAAAGCTGCAGGTCATCTACCCAGACGTCAAAGTCAATGGCCCGACCCTCAGCGTCAAAGGTGAGGACACTGGGGGAAGCCATGACAGCAGTAGACTAGCAGTGAGAGCAGCAGGCTAGGGCAGAGCAGTGGTGGAGGCGCTGCTCTTACCGGGCAGGCGAGAAGGACCGAGGCGCGTCGGCAGGAACAGGGCCGCGACAGCAGGAACGGCGGCTCGGCGGCTCAGCGGCTCGGCAGCGCGTCGGCAGCGGCGTCTCGGCGGCTCGGCAGCACGGCGGCAGTGGCGGCTCGACGGCTCGGCAACTCGGCGGCAACGACGGCTCGGCGGCTTGGCAGCTCGACGGCTCGGCGGCTCGGCGGCTCGGCGGCGGCGGCGTCTCGGCGGCGCGGCTGCTCGGCGGGGCCGCGAAGGGATGGCGAAGGGGCCGCAAAGGGCGGCGGTGGGGTCGCGTGCGGCGGCGACTACAGGAGTCGCGCGCGGCTGCGGCGACGGGAGGGCAGGCGGCCGCGGCGACGAGGTCGCAGGCGGCTGCGACTGCAGGGTCGCGGGCGGCGGCGACGGTAGGGTCGCGGGCGGCGGCGACGGCAGGGTCGCGGGCGGCTGCGGCGACAGGGTCGCGGGCGGCTGCAGCGGTAGGGTCGCAGGCGGCCGCGGCGACGAGGTCGCGGGCGGCGCGAAGGGCGACGGGGTCGCGACGGGCGGCGTCGGGGTCGCGGGCGGCTGTAACGACGCCGCGCAGGGCGACGCGAGGGTGGGGCCGCGGGGTCGCGACGGTGGGGCGCCGGGGCCAGCAGAGGCGGCGCCGGGGCCGGAAGCGCGGCGCGACGGGGCCGCTAAGGGAAGCGAGGGGAGGGGAGCGCGACTCGGGCAGGGGCGGAGCGCGCTCCGGGCAGGAAAAAAAAACTTTACAGTGGGCCCTAGGAACAGTTCTCACGATGGAACCTGCTCTATACCATGTGAAAATTGGAACGAGAATGAATGCATTGAGCAGCATGAGGAGTACAAGTACCAAACCCTAGAATGTTGTACCCCATATGAGCTACCCCACTACAGCCTACACAGACTATAGTGTATAAGTTTGACATGTCGTACCGGTATATTATTTTTATTATGAAGCCTCTCTCCAAATTTCACCAAGGCCGTAGACCCAGGGGGGTTTATCCCAAGTAAAGCATCCATGTATGATAATTTTAAGGAATGCTGACTTTTTACAGGGCCTTTTTGGAGTTGTCCAGGTCCAGCAGGGTCTTGTTTTGCGGAGGTTTCATTTTCCTCGGCGTTTTTCCCTGGTAGAGTCCGTTCGTGGGTTGAAGAATTCACTCCACGATCCTCCAATTTTCGCATTGAATCTGCTCCACTGCTGCGGTCCCAGAACGATGCACGTGCGGTTTTCATTTTGTTGCAATCGATAAGTCGAAGTCCAGGTTTGCCGCAGAAAGAACACTTAGCTTTGTTCTTCTTTGGTCTTGCCTTCGCGTCGATTCGATCGAGTTTCATTGGGTCGGCGTACGTGGGGGTAGCCAAGCGTCCTCCATGTCGTCTAGCTCGTCCATGAAGTCGTCGTGTTCCGATCGTGATTACGTCGAAACGTTCTGCTGCCGAGACAACGTCGTTGTAGCTGCTCCAATTTGCGGCCGCAAAGTGCTGCCATATTTCGTTTTTCAGCCCCGCGATAAATGCTCTAATTTTTTCGCCTTCCGTGACGTCGGGGATGCGGTTGAACAACTCCTCCATTTGTTGCGTGTAGTTCGCGACGCTCCCGATTTGTCGATGACGATGTATTTTGTCGCGGTCGATAAACGCTGCATTTATTGGCTCAAAACGCTGTAGTAATCTTTCACAGAATTGCTCCCACGTCGCTTCGCCTTGGTTTAATAAACCGTTTTCGCTTATCCAATCAATTACTGGTCCGCGCAGAAGTGTTGCTGCAAATTTAATTCGCGAACCGTCGTATGTCGGGGATGTCCAACCGACGGCTACGAAATATATTTCGATTTCCGAAAGCCACCTCCGCACGTCGATTTCCCCGTCGAAGGTGTTGGGAGCTCGAATTTTTTGGGCCAGGGGAAATTTTCGCGACTGCTGCGAAGTCACGATCGAGGGTCGCAATTTTCGCCATGACGCGCGCATTCGCCCGAAGTCGTTCAATCTGTCGCGCGTCGATGTCGCTACTTCTGCACTACTCGATATAAGTCTTACAAATTCGCGTTGGTCGTCGTTGTATCGCCAACTCGTCGCCAAAAATTCGAAATCACGAACCTGTTCAAAAAACGCGCGAGGGGGGTTCATTAAAAAAACAAGGATTCTGGTGCTTACCAGCGTTGGCGCCGAATTCGTCGTCCCCGGCGGTTTTTCGAAGCAGGGAATTTGCTGTCGCGCTGCTTAGCTGAAACTATGCGATTGAAAACGGCTCTGACGACCAAGTGTCACAGGATCGAATTTCCACTCGATAATGTCGCACTAAAGGTGAGTGCAAGGCGTATTTATACTCTGAAATACACATCTAGAAACAAGCGATAATTTAAACCTTCGGGAACGCGCTCTTCTAGGGTAGATTTCACTAGTGCGCATAAGCACGCAAGCCCATTGGCACATTGGATTATGGCGAGATTACGTCTTGTACACCACCGTTGGTGTTGTCGGTGCCGTACGATGTAATTGTCAGTGACGAAAATACAAATAAGTGAAATAATCGGAAAGCTCTAGAAAATAGAATAGTAGTCCGATTGAGGTGAAATAAAGTGCAAATGAAAGAGGAAAATAAGGAGAATAAGATAGAGTAAAAATATGGAAATGAGAAATGGGTCGGATGTTCACGTACTCTTACAATGATCCACACCCATACACCCCATTTTCTGTGGCCCTACGCGGCTCGGTACGCCGCTCACCAGCTGAACCTCTGGCCTCGTGTCTCTCGGCCAGAGGCTTCACCGACCAGTCTTTGGACAGGGTCCCCTGGTGTAGCGTCGAGGTTTAGTGTCTGGGGCTGCTTGGCTCTTGTCCGCGACACCTCTTCGGACAAGATCTTACCTCGCGCCGTTCCCTGTGTCTTCCTTGGTTTCCCAGAGGACTCCTCTGACTTCACCTTTTACCACCCTCCCTCCTACTGGTTCTTTGACTCTCGTGACGTCCGTTTCGACGAGTCCGTCCCCTACTACGTCCGGTACCCCTGTCGAGGTCTCCCGGTTCCCCCCCCTCCCCTCTTCCTGGCTCCAGCTCCTCCTCCTGCCCCTGCTCCTCCGGTCCCCCCCCCCCTGTTCCCGCTCCGTCTGGTGTGTCCCACGCTACCCCCCCCCCCCTCGGTACCTTCCCAGGTCTCTCCTCCTTCCCCACAGTCGTCCTCACAGCCTCCGCAGCAGCCGTCAGCGCTTCCTTTACCGGCCACTGCGGACTCTGAGGGTGTTGGTGCTCGAGGTGAGGGCTCTGGCGGTGCTCGCTCTGGGGGTGCTGGCGTTGGAGCTGTTCGTGCACCTACAGGAGCCGCCCGTTCTGGGGGTGTTGGCGTTGGCGCTGAGCGTTCACCTGCTGCAGCTGCCCGTTCTGAGGGCACTGGAGCTCGTGGTGGTGCTGGAGCTAGTGGTGTTCCTGGAGCTGGAGGGTCTGGGACTGGTGCTGGTGCCACTGGAGGCACCACGACTGGGGGTGCGGGTACACCTCCTACAGGTGCTGGTCGTGCTGTCGCAGGGGGTACTCGCTCTGGGGGTGCTCAGCCGGGTACTGTCGAGGGCGGAGCTGGTTCTTCTTCTTCGTCCCCTGACACCACTCCTCCTCCTCACCCCTACCCTACTCGTTACCAGACCCTTCTTCGTGTTGAGCATGAGAAGCAGCAGCGTTTGGAGCGTGAGAGGTTGGAGGTTCAGCGGCGGGTGGAGCGTGAGCGGTTGGAGTTGCAGCGGGAGCAGCAGCAGCAGCAGCAGCCGGAGCAGCCTCCGACCCCTGTTTCTGACCTCCGGGCCCTTGGTCTCCCCTCCTCTCCTCCTGTGTTCGGTCCTACGTTTCCTCCTCCGGACTCCGCTCCGGCTGTGTTCCCTCGTCCTCAGTCTCCTCCGTCTCCCTCTCCTCTCGCCCACACTTGGGCCTCTCGTCCTCCTCGTGCTCGTCCTTCGTCACCTGTCACTGACCTCCGTACTGTGTTGTTCCGTCCTAGTCCTCCTCGTTCTCCTCCGTCTGTCCTTCCTCGCCCTCCTGAGTCGTCTCTCACTGCCTCCCTGTCCACTCCGGTCACTGACTACTACCGCACGTACCGCCCCACTCTCTCTCGTGTTCTCGCCTCTCTTGTTACCGACCCTCGTGCCTCCGTCTCTTGTTCCTCCGTCGCGGTCCTCACTGCCGCTGTCACTGACTTTACTGCTACGCGTTGCCTTGACTACGCCACTCGTGTTGTGGCCGCTCCTCCTGTCCGTCCTCTGTCCGCCGGGGGTGAGTCTGCCCTTGGCTGTGACGTCCTAGAGGATAGACAGTCTAAGCTAGAGTTCATGGTAGCTGCTTCGCCTCATCTCTGTGCCATGCTGCTCGCTCCTGAGGGAGACCCCGACGCTCTCTGTGCCATGCTGCTTCGCCACATCTCTGTGCCATACTCCTCGCACTTACGCTGAGGCAGTGTCAGGGCCTTGGGCCTCTCAGTGGAGAGCTGCCATGGACGCAGAGATGGCCTCCTACAGGTCCACAGGCACTTACGTTGACAAGGTTCCCCCCAGGGGCGAACATAGTTGACGGCATGTGGATCTTCAAGGTGAAGCGGCCGCCGGGATCTCCTCCAGTCTTCAAGGCACGCTACGTGGCTAGAGGGTTCAGTCAGCGCGAGGGGGTTGACTTCTTTCAGACCTTCGCGCCCACCCTGAAGATGACCACTCTTCGGGTGTTACTTCACGTAGCGGCGCAGAGGGACTACGAGCTACACTCCCTCGACTTCTCCGCCGCCTTCTTGCAGGGCAGCCTACACGAGGAGATCTGGCTGCGTCGTCCTCCGGGCTTCACTGGCACCTTCCCGCCTGGGACCCAGTGGAGCCTCAGACGACCGGTCTACGGTCTCCGTCAGGCACCCCGTGAGTGGCACGACACTCTCCGCTCTACTCTGTCCGACCTCGGGTTTGAGCCGTCTTCCGCCGACCCGTCGCTGTTTGTTCGTCGTGGGCGCACACCTTTCTTCGTTCTGGTCTACGTTGACGACTTGGTTTTTGCCACAGCCGACACAGTTGCACTGGCGGAGGTGAAGTCCGAACTGCAGAAGAGACACACCTGCACTGACCTTGGGGAACTGCGCCGCTACCTTGGCCTGCAGATCTCCAGGGACAGAGCCGCTCGCACCATCACTCTGACTCAGTCACACATGGTGCAGCAGGTCCTTTAGCGGTTCGGGCTTCAGCACTCCTCTCCTACACCCACCCCTCTTGCTGTAGACCACAGACTCACTGGGCCTTTTCTTGACGAGCCGTTCGAGCCCAGTGGTCCCTATGCAGAGCTGGTGGGCTGCCTCATGTACCTGATGACGTGCACTCGCCCGGACCTCGCCTTCCCTCTTAGCATCCTTTCTCGCTTTGTTGCGACTGGGAGACACCGTCTTGTTCACTAGACGGTGGCTAAGAGGGTGGCGAAGTACCTTGCCACGACATCAGACATGGGGCTTGTACTTGGAGGGACACAGCCAGTTGTACTCACCGGTCACTGCGACTCCTCCTACGCCGACGACGTTGAGACTCAGAGGTCTACGCAGGGTTACTGTTTCAGTCTGGGCTCTGGAGCTGTTTCGTGGAGGTCTACTCGGTCCTCCTCTGTTGCGACTTCTACCGCAGAGGCCGAGATCTACGCTGGAGCCCTTGCTGCACAGGAGCTACGCTGGTTGACCTTCTTGCTCACTGACCTTGGTGAGCGGCCGAGCTCTGCACCGACCTTGTTTGCTGACAACAAGGTGATGATTCTCCTGTGTCGTGAGCCTCGACTGGAGAGCAGAGTGAAGCACATCGACGTCAGGTACTTCCTCCTTCGAGAGTTGCA